TTTCATTCTTGTAGCATTTTTTGCATGTACACTCTTGCAAAATTTACACCTCACATTTATGGTCTTTTGATTAGAAGAACCCGCAGGTAACACTTCAAAATAAAGCCAGATATCTGTCTTACGTTTCACCATGTTTTATGACCTAAAAAAAATATTCAGGTAGACTTAAACATTAAGAAGGGAAAAAACATTATTTTTCAAAGTATTTGATGGGCACGAGGGCATAAAAAATTGTTAGGCATCCTTAAATAGAAGAAAGATTAAAATTGAATCTGTGTAACAATTTAATGAAATTCGAATAAGCAGAATACTGGATCGGACAACTACATTATTTTGCCCTCAACGTTATCAAAATTTTTTATTTAGTAAGTTATGTCAGTGTAATTCAATTACACATGCTACATGCACAAGTACCACCGTTGCTCCTATCATTCTTATAGTTATTGTACAGTAAACTAATCTAAAAAATCGAATAAAACTTGGTAAACCGAATTCAGAATTAAGTACTGTAGCCACATATAAAATGACGCGCGTTAGATTTAACGTACAGTCGATATGCGATAGGCCCGCCCCTGTGTTTCCCAATCTAAGGTTGCTATGGACATCACCGGCACGTGTTTTGCTGTTTGTAGAAATAATATATTTCTTACCTTATAGTTTCTGTGCTTCCTTATAAATAAATGTAAAGTAACCAACGCTGCGTGAATGAATAGAGAAAGAACAGTCGAAAACTAACTTATACATACACATTACACATACAATAACAGAAATGTAAACATAACCTGCCTGACTCAGACTAAGGAACGACTAACGAGCGACGAGCGTAATAGCACCCACTGGTTCGCGCGCGCCGGCACCGGCGCACCGCACTTACGACAATTGCGCGCGCATAAGTTGCCATAATATATGTAATTTTACCAGTAATTACATAAATTACGGTAATTTATGTAAATTTATCATAAGTTACGTTAAATTTCATAAATTACGTAAATTCCAAAAATTACATAAATTACATTAAGTTACGGGTATCATGTAATATTACCGTAAGTTACGTGTAATTTATGTAACGTAAGTTATGTAATTTTACAACTCACATCACTAATTGTATATGATTGGTAGTAGACTTATTATAGGTCTATAGTTTTTGATATCCTCTTTGCTACCTTTCTTATGAATGAGAATTATGTTTGCTGTATTCCAGTGGTCTGGTCCTCTTCCTCAGTCCTAATCCCTTTTGGGATGTGGTGACACCATCAGGCCTTTACAGTTTTTTCACGATTTCCTTCCATCCTTCTCTGTCCTGGGCTAGTTTTTCAGCTTCATGTAACCCTTGGTTAATCAATATTTTTGTTTGATCTAGCCAACGGCTTGGAAATCTTCCCCTAGGTTTCTTTCCTTCAACTCTATTTTCGATTATCAGTTTTCCATCGTACCTGTTCTTCTAGCAGTGTGTTCAAAATACTGCAAATATCTCTGTTGTATTTGTTTAAGCAATCTATCCTTTACTTATTAATCCAGGATATTCTCAACATGCGGCGGTATACCCACATTTCAAAAGCGTCCAGTTTATTTTTATCCGTTTTCTTTAAGGTCCACGTTTCGGATGCATATATGGCTATGGGAAAAATGTGAGCCCTTACCAGCCTTAGTTTTGTGTGTATTGTTATGCTAGAATTTCTCCAAATTGCTACCAGTTTCATCATAGCTGTTCTAGCAATAGTCAACCTTCTACGTATCTCTCTGTCACACCCTCCGCCATTTGTTATTAGGGACCACAGGTGTATGAATCTATTAACTACTTCAAAGCCCCCAATTTCTTTAATGTGTTAAAGATTATTCCGAGCACGGTCTACTATCATGATATGTATGTATCTCGAAGTTAGGCAGTTTGTAAATATGCCTGCTAAGATTGTCCAAGTTTTATTGCCAGCATATTTAAGCAGTTCCTTTGTTATACCATCTTTTCCAGCTGCTTTAAAGCTTTTCATTTTTGTAATTGTCGATTCTACTTCTTCCTGAAGGACTTCTGGTACATCTTATTGGTTACTGATTACTTCGTAAAGTGTGTCATGGGCTTTGTATAGTTCCCTTTAGAATTTAGTCACGAGCTGTATTATTTCATTTCTGTCTGTAATTCTGATGTTTTCGTTTGTTATAGCAACGATTTGCTTCTTCCCAATGATTAATGCTTTTCTTGTTTTCTTAAAGTTTTTCCTTTTTTGGATCGCATTTTCTACTAGTCTTTCATTGTATTTCCTTATGTCTTTCTAATACTTTTCCTTATTGTCTCACAAAATTCTGTGTATTGTATTCTCTGTATGTTGCTACTTTCTTTCATTTAAATTCTTTGTTTTAGCATTATTTTAGTTTTATCAGACAGTTTATTACGTTCATTTTGTTGTTGTAGGTCTCCGATTTCTTTGGCCTTGATAGCGATAATTTCCATTAATTGAGAGCTATCGAATTTATCATGTAATATTTCATCAATTGTCTTTTGATAGTGATCTGGGTTTTCTTTTAGATTGTTAATATTTATACCGGTTACTCATGGTTTTCTGATTAATTTTATTCTTTGTAATTTCAGATCTAGAACAATTTTTGCTCTCATTAGTCTATAGTCGCTGCCTGTTGGAAATATATTTATTACACTGGCATCTTTATTGTAACAATCTTGTTGGTTAGAATGAAGTAAATTTCGTTCTTAGTGATTCCATTTGGTGCTACCCAAGCCCATTTATGTTCAATGTTTTCTTAAAGAATGTATTTGTAATTGGCATGTTTTGGTAGTATGCAACCTGAACCAGTCTTTCTCCCCTCTCATTTCTATCACCGACTACATACTTTCCTTCAGGCATATATCTATCATTATCTCTTCTTCTGCTTCTTTTAGTTTTCTTTCTATAATGTTTTTAACCCTTTAACGGGCAGAACTATTTTTTGTAAAAATATACTTTTGAATAGGAAAAGTAACCATTTATGTATCACTAGCAAGACAAAAAATGTTTAAAACATTTTATCCTTACAAAAAATACTCGAAAGGATGGTATATATAGCCACCAGTATGCATTTTGACAAACAACTAATATTTACCTAATACTTGGTATATATAGTAACCGGTAAAAACAATTACAAAAAGTTATAAAAAAAATACTTAATTCCGAAAATATAAAAAAAACTACATACAGGAATATTTTAAATTTATTATCTAAGAACTTTCTATCTACTACGGTAGGGTGCAAAGCAGTCTTTGTATATAGCAACATTACAAACTTGACAAATCAAATTGCTGCGCGTGTGTCTCTTTTTAAATGAAGCACAAAGGACATAGCACCAACTCACCAAGTTCCTTTGGTGGGTAAGTGTGAATCAGCATTCAAAGTTGAGTTTGATGGAGGTTCAGACTTTTTTCTGAAAATAAAAGTTCTAATCAAATTTTCAGCTAGTGCACTGCGGAACTGTAATGCAGTCATAGGCTGAGCACTTAGTTTTTTTTAGAGTCTCCTTATTATAGAAGATAGCTGTTTACTATTATTGCGTCTAAAAGGTAGTAAAATATTTTTAGAGTAGTGATAGTAGTGATAGAGTAGTTATCATGATATTGATCGAATAGATCTACTCCACTAATGTATTTCTTATAATCGGCTATTGTCTGAGGACATGGTACTTGATGTCTATTTCCGGTTTTGTTTGTTTTTAAAACCTGAGTTTTGTCTTGAAAATTATGTAGATTGTTGAGAACACTAATACATTTTACGCCTCTATCTTTCCACTTATACACAGATATTGCCCTGGAACTAACCGAATCTGACTGATTTTGGGAAAGCTCTTTATCAACACATAATACAGTGGTATTGTGATGAAACAATTATCAAAGTATACACAATAAGCACGATTTTGATATTTACATAATCTAAAGTTCTAAAACAACACGTTCTCCTAAAATATCGGACGTTGGTTCAGTGAATGTTTCTTAATATATTTGAAAATTTAGAAGATATCTTGTTTTAGTACATGCCAATGCCCAAATTTTCAAGCCTCTTTTTATTGGTTTCATTGGTATGTACTGTTTTAGTGATATACGCCCTTTGAAAGGACTCACATGCGTTCGTCAATAGAAAGATGGTTTATAATTGGTTTAAGTTTGTAGAACCTATCAAACTCTTTTATTTTCGGTTGGAGCATATTTTCATTATTGTTTAGATGCAAAAATCTCAAGACTTTCAGGAACCTTTTTAATGTAAATATTTTAGTCAGACGTTCAACATGGAAATTGTCATTGCTGGACCAGTATGACCTTATTGTTAGAAGGCTGTGGAAATCCATGACTATAAGTATTCCCAAGAAAGCGTCAAGTTCTTTCATATCCATAAAAAGTTGCGAATACTTCTGGGTAGCGTAGAGGTAACCATCTTTAATAGATCGACACAAATTCTCGTATTCGCTGATGATATCGTTATAGTCTGAAGAAATATGAGAGGAAAATCTAAATATAAGTATGTTGATTACTAAAAACCCTCCAAATGTTTAACAGAGAATCCAAATTAATCACTATATTCTTGAGCTAGTTAAATTGGGTTTCTTTTTCTTCGTCTAACCATTTTCAATCTTTCTGCTTCCTTGTTCACTGATCATTTGTATTGTTCCCTAAGTTTGTTCTTGATATGTGTTGATGTTCATTCGCTTTTCCTTTAAGAAAGCTTTTATCAATTTGTTCAAAAAAATTTACAATTTGTTGTAAATGTTTAAAGTGAACATTGTCCAAACAAGTCTATGGGGAATACTGTTACATGACTGTTACGGAGACAATAGCTTTTCATAATATAGCTCAATTCTGTACAATTCGAAACATAGAATACGTATAAGATTTAATATTGAATAACTTATTAAATACACAATTTTTTTCGATTCTTTAATTCTTTAAATAAAATTTCCCATGTCTAAGATACAAATTTAAAACGATACGGCAACACCGTTAGTTCTTCCTTCGCGATTTGACAGAACTCCTCCTCACCTCCTCAGTGACTGTGATGCGCCGCTGTAGGTCGGTGAGATTTTGTGCCATGTTTTAAATATTTTATGTTTTCAAATAACTTTTAATTATTTTAATATTATTTATTTAAACAAAGAGTGTGCCATTATGCCGATTTTACATTTAGTGTTAATTTTATTCGCCACATTTATTCATGTTTCCCCGAAGGAAAGCAATGGTAAGTTGTATACAGAAAATAAAACATTTGTTTAGTCTCAGATGTGAGATATGCAGTACTTCCTACACTGAATTGCATAAAATGTGAGTGTTAAATAACTTAAGAGGATCATATTTCGTGTAATGTTTGCAGTTCTCGTGAAATCAATGTTTTTTACATACCTACTTAGTTCATATAAAACTTATGATATTTATGAATTTAAGCTTGTTTTCTTAATAAAAATATCTTATACTGGCTATTGACATCAAGACAACAAGGTTGTATAGATTACCCACTTCTATTAAATTCAGATAAGATTAAATCTCAAATTCTTTGGTAGCTCAACATGCCATAAAGACCCATGGTTTCAATATTGTTCTTCCTATCTTTTGCCAAGTTTTTCTAATTTATTTTACGGACTTTATCCATTTTCTTACTAAATGACTTATTTTTCTTGTCAGTTTGTAGTTCTCGTAAAAATCAAAGTTTTTACATATTTCCCATAAAACTATGATTTTCAGCTTGTTTTCTTCATAATAATGTCTCGCAATTGACATTGTAAAAAAAATGGCATAAAAGTGCCTAGAATAATGCTACAAGGTTGTATATTTTCCCCACTTTTATTCAATTTAGATTTTATCTCAAGTTTTCTTGTAGCTCAACATGTCATAACGACTCATATGTCTTTAATATTTTTTTTACTTTCTTTTGTTAGGTTTTGGCTGTTGCTGCGGAAAGCATCCTTATTACTTTCTCTGGTGTGCAGACAAACAGCTACTACCGTTATTAAAGATTTCAAAGATTATCAAAAAACACCCAATTTGCTCTAGCTCAATTACCCCTTAGTGCCACTAAATACCATGGGTTGAGGACCTAGCATTTAATTCAAAAATTCAAAAAAATTTAAATCCACTGGATTGGGGTTGCAAAAAATAAAAAAAAAATAGTGATATCAGTCTGTACTACTAGCCCTCCTGCTCCCAGACTTTGCTTGAGGAAATTACTTATTTATGAAGGAAAGAAAGGCAAAAAAAAATAGTATGCAGAAAACTGGAAATAATGACTTGCAAGTAATGCATGGATATTAATTGTGATAACATTGATATCTCGGATATTTTGTAAAGATGATATTGTTAATGATATTAATGCAGATATAGTTATTGGATTTTTTAAATATTTCAGCTTTACTTTAAAGAGAAATTAATGTATAATCTGATTTCAGTTCATTAAATTACCCATAGCTACATTATTTATTCCATAAAGATAGATTTTTTCTTAATAAAAAGTAAAAAAAAAATTAAATGATAACTAATTTCAAATGATTATATCTCATTCAAATTCTTTTTAAAATTAAACGAATAGTCCAAGTTAAACTCATCTTCGATTCCTAACCTACTCAATTAGAGTGCCTAAATCCTATAGATTTTATATCCCCCGGATCATAAGATTGAATAGTGTCATTTCCCAGTGTCTGAATTATGTTAATATGAGAGAATTTGCCACAGTTTGTGTGATATTATTTTATAGTACTACATCTAAAGTCCTTAGTTCCACCAAATACATGTTATGTAAGTTTAATCAAAAAGTACAAACCGTGGGAAACGTATTTTGAATTTTTTCCAGGCTGTAAATATGGCTGAAATAGTCTGGTGATCATGTTATAGAAACATAAGACAGTATACTATGGATTAAAGTAAGATATATCATTCTAAGGTGGGTACAGAAAGATCTCAACAGTTTCTTGTGATAACACATAGATTATGGTATGCTTTATTTGACATATTGTTGATGTAAGGGATAAATGACAAGGAACTGTCAAAAAAACCCAAATCTCTTGAGAGAAGGTTTATATTAATGTGATAGTCAAACACAACATTATTTTTAGATTTGCTAAAGGATATAACAAAAAACTTATCTTTATTCAACCAATATAAGGTTGAATGTTCGAATAAATGAACTTTGATGGTACACAAGGCAAATATCAAACACAGTATTTAATCAAATCTTGCCCAAGTACTTTCGATCACAAGATCATCTTCAGGGGCATTTCGTCAGTTGTGGCCTATCCAGCAGTAACAGAATGTCATAAAAGATGAGCTGCATCTATACCACTCTCTTAGGTTTCTTAGTCAGGAAATTCTTCGTCTTCCTATGGATCTTTTAACCTTGATTTTACCTCGCATTATGTGCCTTAATATCTTATATTTCGCACCTCTGATAATGTGGCCTAAATATTCCAGCTTTCCTGTTTTGATAATCTTTATGACCTTGCAATCCTTTTGTAGTCTTCTTAACACTTCTGCATGTGTAAGTTGTTGGGTCCATGGTATTTTCAAAATCCTTCTATAGCACCACATCTCAAATGATTCCAACTTCTTTATATTATCCACTTTTAGTGTCAAGCTTTCCATTCCATACAACAAAGTCCAGAACACATAGCATCTTAATGGTCTTATCCTCAGCTACAGAGGAAGGTCTCAAACATTGTTTTTATTTTTATAAATGCTTGTTTTGCAATTTCAATGCGTGTCCTTATTTCTCTACCTTGGTCATTGTTTTCATTTGCCCAGGTTCCCAGATATTTGTAGTTATTCACTCTTTCTACTTGTTTTCCCTCCATATCTAGCCTTCCTACTGTATGATGCTTAGAAATAATCATGCACTTGGTTTTCTTAACATTCATTTGAAGTCCATATTTTATACTGACTTGATATAATCTATTTGCTAAGATTATTTTGCAGACAGAGTGTCTGCAAAAACAGCGGTGTTGTCTGCGATTCTTATGTTGTTCAAGATTTTTCGGTTTATTGATATACCCTGTTGTTCCTCTGACATTGTTTCCTTAAAAATAGCTTCGCTGTACAGATTGAATAACAATGCAACCTCTTTTGATTCCTATAGATTCTGTATCGACATTTTTTATTCTAACCTTTGTTTTTTGATTCCAGTACAGATTGACAATAACCTGTATCGAGTTATTGTCAATCTCCTCAACTATCCACATTCTTTTCTTTTAACAGTTTTACGAGTTTGTGATATCGTACTCTATCAAAAGCCTTTTGATAATCTATAAAGCAGACATAGCGATCCTGGTCCATGGTACATTTGTGTATTCCTTGACGTGGAATTTTATTATCCAAATGAGGATTTTGCTTGCTATCGACCTAGAAGGCCTTGTTTTTTATATGATCTTTCCCTCCCCTGCGGGATCTTGGTTTCCGGATTCCATGATCAGTAACGGTTTGACTTTTTTGCGTATTTGCCATGATGAATAACTAGTAATGTTCGGTTGAACATTTAATGCAGTGATTTCCACTTGCCTTTTGCATTATTCTGCCGTTGACCAATTTATTGGTTTTTCCGTATTTGGTCGATTTCTCAGCTCCAGGACAAAAGATTGTCCTACTACCTACCGACTTATCCGCTCGAGTCCGTTGGTCGGTAAGCAGGGGATTGCTTATATCAAAATATATAGTGTAATCTAATTGCTTAACTAAGATTACAACCAAGATCACTAGTAATTGTCACATGATGAAAGTTATTGGGAAGCAAATACGTTAGAAAATCTATCTATCTATATAAGGATTTTCACAGCTGTCGCCGCCTTCCTTCTTTCAGCCAACGTCTCCAGTCATTTCTGTTCTGCCATTCTCCATCTCTAAGGTCTCGTCTTTCCATGGCCTCCTCCACTTTATCCCTCCACGACCTTCGGGGTCTACCTCTTTTCCTCCTTCCTATTGGGAATCCGAAATCTTTGCTATCCACCTTGTATGATCTGTTCTTCGAATCCGAAATCTTTGCTATCCACCTTGTATGATCTGTTCTTCTCACATGTCCATACCAAATTTAACGTTTTTCTGCGATGTAGCTGAGTATGTCTTGTGTCTACTGCCATTATTCGTTTTATCTCCTCTTTTCTGATGCGATCTTTAGAAAATGAAATCCAAAAATACTCCGTGTTGATTTGGTAAGTTATTTGATTGCCTTATGTTTAAGTAAGAGAAGCATTTGCATAGTAGCTCTACTGGATAGTTTTGTGAGCAGTCAACGAGCAAGCTCAAGAAACCAGTGATAAATTGTAGTTGCCAAATAAATATATACTTACCTACATGTTCGATAATTATGTACATGTTCGATTAACCTGTCATATTTGTAGTCCACCATTTGATGTAATGATGCTAGTATTTTAGGAAGCTCAATAGTGTCGAAAGTTTTTTCTAAATCGCCAAAAGTTAGCACAAGTCCTCTACTATATTCCACCGATCTCTCTATTAAAGTATTAATTGTTTTCAAATGATCGTTTTTCGCCAATTTACTTCTAAATTCAGCCTGCTCGGCAAGGTTAATTAAAGTCTTAATTTTTTTTCAGGCGTTTGGTTATGATTTTAGTTAATTAGTTTGTAAAGTTGAGAAAGAAGAGAAAATGGCCTATAGTTGTCAAGATTTGTTATAACTGATCACCGTTTTTGTGAATAAGGATCATGATTTCATTATTTCGTCATTTGTAAGCATAAATTTGAACAGATCGAAAAGAATTGTACACGAAATAAATTAAACTATGTCACGTCGTTCTTCACTTTAGATCATTGCTTCCAATAAATTATAACATTTCGTTATAATTAAAACTTTTATCAAATCAAAATTGCTGTAGTAACGGACAATTTATTATATAAACCAAAGATAGTAGTATCAATAATTGATAAAAGTTAAGAGATACATTGGCATCATTCATAGGAAGCTGTAGAGTGTCCTGTTTCTTTAATCATTTTGTTATTTTTAATTTTACGACCAACGGCAGTGATGCAATGCGTATTTAAAACACATATGTGCTATTCCACGTTACACATTATAATTGTCGAGATTGTTGGGCGATTGTTCTGGAACATTCTTACAGCGGTCGCTTTGATTTAAGACCGGTATACCGTGTGTACCAAAAAGTTAATTCATACTTTTAATTATCGATATGTTATTTGAACAATTAATTAATTCAATTATTTTATGAATTTTGAAGGTATTTAAAA